AAATTAGACACCCAAGCATAGTCTTAAACACTTCTGCGTGTGCTCATACTGCCTTAAAACAATGAAGAAGTCCAAACCAGCCCATCACGCTAACTGAAAAAAGGCTTGAAAAAGAACATGTCAAAATAAACTGCTCCAGCAGCTCATACTGTTAACTCTGAAGATCCCCAATTTAATATGTCATTGTTTTCTTCAAGCTCTTTGGTGTATCGATAAACCTCTCCTTGGAATTTCAGAATTTCTCTCAATCAGTCATGATGTGTGGCGTAATGCAATTTTTACATTAATGAAGTGTCTGTTCTGATGTCAAGGGAGAAGAAGCACTTATAAGTGACATACATATGGAACACAAAACAGCCACAAGATCATGTTATTACAGATAAAGAACACTTCAGCAAGGTGCATGGAAATACAATTTACAAGTCACTTATCATGCATGCTCCTCTTCTCTAGTTCTTTCCTCTTCGACTTTAATCGGTAAAAAGTCTGTCAGATCTCATTATATATATACAGATACACACACACTCTGAAGTCTAGGCTAAAACTGACATAGTCAGTCAAAAAACCTAAGACGTTTTACATGATGAAAACTTCTTTTCCTAACTACATCCTAACTTTCATCAAATCAGCTACTATCCCATGCCATGCACACTTAAATTCTGAATTGCAGAACTCTTTATAAAAAGGGGAGAGGCTTATGAAATTATTCTAGCATTCCTGTAACAATAGAAAGATATTGTATATTTGCAATTGTCTTTAGCTTTTTAGACCGTATCATAGGAATTTACAGATACAGCTCTCAGGTACCACAGTGAAATACCTATCGATCTCAAGAAAACAAGTCAAATTGCTAACAAATCAAACTTTCTGAAGATGATTTACCAATCACAAAGATTCATATTTTTACCTTTTACAGTATTTATGCCAAAATTACTTGCCACTCTCTATTTTGGGTATTTGGTGTCAAATTAGCCTTTAAAAAAAAAAAAATTTCCTGCTCTTATGCCAAATTTGACTGTCGGTTTTTATTGGAACATCAAAAGCAGGCTTTTAATTCTCACAGTTTTGATGCTTAATGAAAAGTGAAAGTTAAACACAGCATGGCAGCATTAAAAATGCATGGTAAATCCATAGCACCCTGACATCTTAGCCCTGCAGAGGATGTGAAGAAAAGCCATTGTAAACAAAAGATAATACTACTAAATACAAAGCAAATTAATTAGATGGCCTGACAGACTCTTAAACAAAGAAAAAATGGAGGGAGAACATATGTACAACTATCTTCCAGCAAAGATATCACAGTGGTCTGTCAGCAGCACAGTTATATACTGAATTAAAGTTTATGTCTCCATTTTTACTCCTGAATATCTGGAAACTGGCACATCAATAAATTAGCATAGTCAAGAACTTGGACAAAGAAGGGGGCTTGCATCCTCAGCTGTAGCACATAACCCAAATGGCAAGGGCTTATAGCTCCGAACCACCTAGTTTATAAACTACAGACTGCTGATTGCTATCAGTTAAACCAGCTACACTAACCCCAAATTTAACCAGCTACACTAACCCCAAACTTAACCAAATCGAGAATTTCCTTTTGGGCAGAAAAAGTGTCCAAGTTCCCCTGCCTCATTTCAACAGGGAAAAGTACGTGGCCCTTCTAAAGCTCCCGGCACTTGCTGTTTCTGAAAACTCTGCTCTCTGACAGATGTGAACGTGTCTCTGAGCTATAAGCCCATCAGTAGTACCTGAGAGGATCTGTTTTTCTCCTTGCAGTCTTCTACAAATTAAGCTTCTCATCCACAAAACAAAAGCAATGATAAAATATTTTACTATTTTAATGCATTTTTTAATATTAAAAAGAGAGAACAATACTGTTACTGTTGGCAATACAGAACATTTTACATTCATACGTTCTGCACAAAGTCTGTGCACAAATGGGAATAAGTAGGCTAAAACAATGCCTTGATTGCATTTTACCAGTTTGTCCTTGGGAAACAAAGATGTGTTTCATATTATTGTCAAGAGTGTACTGTAAGGTGTTTATATCTCTTAATTTTGCTTTCTTTTACACATATTTAGCTGATTTTTCTTTTGCTTTCCCCTGATCCAAAGTTGTATTTTAATAACTCGGTTTTGTATTATTATGAGAAGCTTGTACAGATGCAATCTAAAAAGAAATACATAGCTGCAGCAAGCATAACACTGTAGCTGAACTCTAGCATATGGGTCGTGAGGCAATGGCAGAAAAAAATAGTCAGAAATCTCGCTGCTACCCCTGGTCAAGCTTCTAAGGACAGCAAAGCTCCTGAAAGCAGAGCCTTTCCACATAGATTCCTGCATAATTTACACACCATGTACTATTGCAAGTTACCCAGGATAAAGAAATAACTAGGAGTATGCCAGAAGAAGTAGCAGTCAGTGTGCCTGAAATTAGGCAGCTCTCTGGGATCATCTCTTTCCCCACTCCTTTAATCCTGGAGTACTGGGGCAATAGTTGTCAGTCAGGCCCATGAGCTGCTTATTTGCTGTTGTCTCAAAAAAGGGGAAAAAAATGTGATTCCTTTGAAAACCAAGAACTGAGACTGAATTTTCCTCTTCTAAAGCTAACAATACTTTTAGTATAATTCAGGCAATAAAATAAGATTCAGACTTTTTAATGTAACAGGGTAACCGATGGTAAGAGAGAAGCTTAAAATAAATCAACCCATCTTCGCTTTATCACAAGGCCATAATCTATTTTGAAGAAGTCAATACAGGAGACCACCAAATGTGCATTAGCACTTAAACGATGCAAGTAGAAGAGCAATGCTTCAAACTGGTTCAAAGACATCTGTGTTCAAAAAGACTGGGTTTGGAACTCTTCGCTGTAATTTAGATAAAAAGCTGATTTACCTTCATATAAGTGTTCCTAAAATTATTTAGAATTGTATTGTTTATGGCACATTTACTTAAATTAATATATTGAATATTGAAAGGGACTAAGTGATTTTTTTAATCAGGAGTTAGAGTGCTCCAAGACATCTCTACATAAGCATGTGAACTGGAATTCAGTAGTTTTTCATCTTGCAAAATGAGCACAGACAAATGAAAACTGGTAAGAACATGTTTCCCTACTTAGAGAATCACTTAACCACTGAGTACATAAAATTAGTGTGTTTAATATGGACTTAGATGCTGTCCTGATCAGAATCTACTTTTTGGGGAATTAGATAGAAATATGAAGGTTCTCACAAGGAACTTAGGCAAAAGTGAGATGTTTCTGGAGTGAATTACTGTACCAGTTCCACTAACAGACACAGAAAAGTTACTGAAATTGAGCTTACAATACTTTCACAGCTTGCCCTAAGGGTTCTTTTTAAGGAAACCTACTGCTTATTTGTTACGTAGTGCAAAAACCTTATGGAATGCAAGCTGCCATCTTGCATCCTGTGGAAACTGAGGAATATGAACACTATAGCGTTAACTTTCTTAAGCATTTCCTGAATATTGTTTAAAGCCATCAGCAGGAGTTACACAAATCAACAGGAAAGTTGCCTTAAAAAGTAGGGACAATCATCCTATTTACTTTTATTCTTGTACATCCATATGCATAATCACACACATCTTAATATTATTTTTTCCTTACTCTTAAAACAATATTTTGGTATAATTAATATTTTTCTATTTAATGTCATCTTCAGATTAAATTGGATGTTGCCTTTTAGGTCTGAGAGTCTTCCCCAGGGAAGCAGCTAGATTTAGAAGTACCTATTATTATACACTTTATATGGCAATGATTGAAACAAAGGGTCCTTCCTTGAAACCAAAGTTAATCTTTATACTGACAGCCCCATCTTTCCTGATCAGCTGCAGTACTGCTCCTTTCCCTTCTGCCCTGTGCCTCACAGCACACAGCTGACTCTGGCACCCTGCACCTTCCCTGTGCTATGACTGTTTCCTCACTCCCCATGGTGACAAAGAAACTCAGCAGGGCCCTGAACCAAAAATACAGCAGAAGGGAGTGACACTTCACTAAAGCTAAGGTCATTTCTGGAATAAGAGTCACTATAGTCCAATGGTGTTCAGACAAAAATCTTGTGGGTATTGTGATGATACTGGATACAGAGGCTCAGTAATTCTGCAATGTATAATTCTACTGAGTTAATCGTAAATATTTGCAAAATTTATCTGCAAGTTTCATAAGAGGCCTGTGTTTATGTAAATAAGGAAGAGGCAATAAGAAATTATGTTTCATTGTGATTAACCTATAAGAACAATACAGCTTATAATGGCTTCTGTAAAGCAAGAAAGAAAAAAGTTAAGCCAATATTTTACTGTAGAACCACGCTGCAAATGTGCGCTCTCATTTTCATGAACGTGATTTCCCAGATTTTCTGAAAGAACAAGGTACAGTTCTTGTGGCATCTCTCCAACTGTCATCTTGAAAATGTTCTTCTCATTTTCCAACTCCTCAAACTCAACAATGGAATCTGAAGCACCAGTTGAACACTAGCTAATGCATACACTGTCATAGACACAAAAACTATTCTAACAATCCATTACATTTTAACTAAATAGGCCCTGGATAGTCAACAGAAGTCAAAAATAGTCAAATCATATTTCTGGCACTTCTAATGGAGCATGTCCACAGTTCAGAGCAACACTGTGCAAAGACACTCAAGCTCAGTCTGAAGGATCGCACAGATTGCCTAAAGCACCATAAGTGTACTTGAGCTGAGCTGCACCGGGGATAATGTGCCATGCCAATTACCAAGGACAGAATGGCACACTAACACAGCTAGCCTGCTTCCAACACCTGGAATATCTCTGCACAGCCCTGAATTATGCAGGATACTTGAATTTCAAATTTAAACAGGTGTTAATGCATAAGAGGAAAGGTACTACAGTAGCTTTTCAGAGCAGAATCATGCTGAGTTCAAGCTGTGAGTACAAAGTACATGTGATACCGAACAGGCAGGTGTTATTGAAAGTTCAAAATGCAAAATAAAGCAATGCATTACCATTTTTATCCATGGAATGGGGCTCAGACTGCTTCTTTCCAATATCGGCAAAGGATCTCACAATTGGGATCCTGTTGCTCAGCTTCTTTTGGTTCTGATGGTGATGCTGTTTCAGTAATGCCTCATGCACTCTGTGACGAACATCCTCACTGAGCTGCCCAGAACCCACCTGCTGGTCCAGAATCATATCTGAAAATATATACATACACATAATAAAAGATGGGACAGAGGAAATATTTTATTTTTTTAATTGCAATAATAAGAATTAGTACTCTACAGGATTACACATGAAAGGTATTGGTTCCATTAAGGCAACAGAATTAAATGGTAAGTGTTTCACTCTCAGAAAAAAAAAAAATCAAAAAGGATGCTATTAATGTAGAGTCAATCCCTCAAAAGATATGCAGTTCCCAAATTAAGGTCACCTGTGTAACTTCAAAGTCAGTCCCTCAGAACTCCCATACATAATGCATTTAAACCCAGGATTATGATGGGTATAAAGGTGGGGGTTTTTTCCCCAATAACCCCTATCTTATTTGCTACAAAGGACTGGCACGCTGCAAGGAAACAACTGTTTTATTCCCTTTATATGTACCAGAGGATATCACAGTCTAGCTTTTTATTTCTTATAACTGTAATTACAATAATTTCAGTACAATATCAAAAAAATTCAAATAAGATGATACAGGAAATTTTGATGCATTATTTGCAAATACTTAATAGGATCTCATTCTACTGCCCAATGTACATGGTCCTGCAAGAGAATCATTACATGGACGTGTGACTGAAAGTGATCCAACCATTTTTGCAGTCCACTGGCAGAAAATACTCTTATATATTCATATTCAAAACTATTTGTAAATATGGGCATTATGTATTTCAAATGGAAAAGAATTGTTGAGAATTTTTTGAGATTTGTTGATTATTATTTTGGGAAATCCTGCTAGCAACAATAATAATTCTTAACAGAAAAAAAAAAAAAAAGAAATCCTGTATCAAAGTAAGTAAAACAGTATTTAAGTACACACTGTCCTTGTATGTCCATTAGAAGAAACTGTACTGCACAAAACAGTGACATAATAAGCTGAGTCAAAAACTCCTTGTACTGAACACTCAGACAGCTCATGATTCTGTGCTCAAGTCAGATTCAGATCTACCAGTAAACTCAGTGGAAAAGCAAGCAGAGCAGAAAACATAAAAAGCAGATGCATCTTCAGTAGAGACAATTTGTCAGGTCTTTGATAGATGCCAAGAACAAGAGAAAAGAAGAGAGATAATAAAAGGCATTAAATAACGACACTGGTTAAACACAAAGTTTAATTGCTAACAGTCAACTATGCACTGTATATACATTTAAAAAGCACAAGTTTTTCTGAAGTTCTCAATATCCACACAACAAGCCAACGTATCATATACATAGCTGCTTTAAGAGCTTCATGTTTCACTTACTATGAAGAGGATACCAACTCTATGACAACACACACACACAAAGACAAGGCTAGGTCCACAGATAAATGCAGCTGCCAACAGATGCAGACATGAAGGATGTATCCACACCTCGCAATGAGGAGTGATGCAGAGTTGCCTTCAATGCTCTCCAACAATTACATTCAGCACAATACTAACAATGGTGTTGACCCAACTGCCAAAGAGTAATGCTGCCTGGTGGTGTGCCTGAACTAATAAAACCTGTCTTCAGGGTGTTCCAGCTGACCTGACAAACAGCTTTGCTGTTCTTCTAGACTCTCATGGAAGAGCGAAAAAGGCACAACAGTAAGATGAGTGACAGAAGGGCAAAAGAGAAGGGAACACAGGTTCAAGAGAAAGTCTTCAGTAGAATTTTTTCCACAAGGAGCCAAGGATTTGCAATACATGAGAAAAAGAAAAAAAAGCTCCAGCTCCAAGAAATGTATTCATTTTCCTGCTCAACTCTGCTACCTTTTGAGGAACTGCCTCTGGCCTGAGGATAAGACTACCATCCCTTTAGATAGCCGTAGTATGGGAATTTGCATGTCACAGTTCCCAAAACAGGCCAGTACCTTCTGTAACATGACAGGGGATCTTCAAAGGAAAAAAAATAACTAATAAATACGAAACTTAGGGTATCTTTCCTAAAGCACAATGGAAAAGATCCTCTCCCCCTTCCTTTTTAATTCTGCTGACCAAAAGACAAATTGTAGAAGATGCAAAAACAACGAGTACCTTCTTTGAGTTGCTCTAAGACAGAAATCAAAAGGAAGAGCTGAAAAAAGGGACTCCTCTAGAACAGGCAAGTTTAGGGTTGTGATTATCACCTTGCTTACAGATCAGTGGAACTCCACTTGTATGATGTCATTCCTGGAATTACAGTATTTTCCATATTAAATATTAAAATATATTAACTGCTGGAGGATGATGTCAATATTTAAGATGATCCACTTGAGGAGAGAAAATGCCAGGAAAATCATATCCCTATCCTCTTCCTTGCCTGGATGCTTTGCTAGACTCATTAACAGGCACACAAGCCATGGAGTTACCACCAGTGTGGTGACTAACAATTTTTATTTCCTGCCAAACTGAGAAGAAAGTGGCTTACTTTGAGTTTTCTTCTTTCACAACAACTTCCTCTTTACAGTAGTACCTCTGCCACATGTACAAAAGGGAAGATGCTTTCAGATTTGGAAAGAGTAAAGATGTCTTTTCTTGCCTTGATACTCCCCTCCAGTTGTTATTCCTTTAATACAGACCCACTTGCAGTTGCAGCTGTAGGAGTTTAAATGCAGTCAAATTACTGCAAGATTGATGTATTGACCATTTTTTTCAAGACCTGAACAGATTTGAATAGTACTAAGAAAGACTGTCTCCACGAGCACCTATCATTATGGGACTCCACTTCAGCTTCTTCCCAAGTTTTTCAAGACATCTTGTAAAAGCCCAAGCCTCTGCAATGTCAGTGATAACACTCTTGATTGCAAAGATAAGCTTGTAAACAAGAGCAACATGGTGTAAGTCCAAAAGTAAATGGCAAACAGGAACATTTTAAGCATCTCATTTTCAAAACAGACTCTTATTTCCTTACTCCTGTGAGAAGAAGATTCTACCTTGTCCCACCAGTTGAAGCTGCACCTACTTTTCAAAGCCTTGTTCTTCACTTTTGTACCTAGAGTGTACAGCCATTTCTCTAAACTCAGTATGGCAAAACAGAGTAAAGAATACAGACCTGAAACTTCACAGCACTGTATCTCAGCTACATTCCTCTGTAACAAGAGAGACTCTCCAGGGTTTCTATGCTCAGCAACAAAGCTTTGGGGATTTGGTTGTTTAAATAATTTTCCTCTCAAATGACGTTTTAACTTCTGCAGAGCCCCCTTCTAGCCAGAGACGCAGCTTACCATTAGATTTTTCAAGGATGCTTCACAACCATATGGAGCTTTCAGCAAGATGCAATGCGTGGAATATCCACCAGCATAGTGTTACCCATTCTATTAATTGCTCACACTGTACCATTTCTGCTGACATCAGGAACACTGAAGTAGGATGTTTCTTCAGTAAGGAATCTTGATTCATACTGGAACCATGAAATCATTTTTTCAAGCTGTTAAAGACACTCTTCCTGCCCTGGTTGTTTAAAAAGATTCAAAAAAACTTGGGGGTTCACATAATTTCAACAATGTTTTCTCCATGCAGACCCCATTACAATATATCATTCACATAAAATTGATTTTGTGAGTAAATGTGAGCAATGTATTTAAACAAGTGATTGTAGTAACTCAAATGTAACTCCTCATCACCTGTGAACAATTTACCCAGGCTGTGATTTAGAGCATCAGGGGTGCAGACACTTCTAATCAGTTTAAATGCAGTGTGGCTCATGTGTTGCCCAGCACAACAAACTGTATCTGTCCCATCTCTAGGGTCAGCAAGGATGCAAAAGCAGGTTGGCTGCTTCCACTCACTTTGGAGACGTCTATTACACACTGTAATACAGAGCTATGCAGCCAGATCCACAAGTCCGAGCACATGAGCAATAAGGAGACAATCAAGCGCGGCAACAGCTCGTTCCCCATTGCTCCAGGTTCACACTGCACCCATCACTTCATGTACAATACCACAGGAAACTCCCAGGTGAAACACAGAATAAATTTATAGAAGGTATACTGCATTTGCACTGAACTACCTGTGAAGTCCAAAAAGAAATTACTAAAAGGGAAACAGGCTAAACTGGGCCTGACTCCTGCAGTAGTGAGTAAAGAAACAAGATCCAACTCCATATATACCGGCAAAGTTGCTGGTATTTACACCTCTCAATCTTACAAATTTTCTAACTGTGCAATTGCAGAACAAAATGAGAGATTAATGAAAAAACAGAACACATGGGCTTTTGTATGCATCATGATTGCAGTGACAGCTGACTACAAAACCTAATTTAAAAGTCAAGATTGGTTTGGTTTGTGGTTGTTTTCTTTCCCTTAAAGACAAGGCAGAAGAAAACACAAGCAACCCTAAAGCAATGCTGTTGAAACATTCAGTTGAAATGCTGTCCTTTATCTTAACCTGTCTCTAATAGGAACCTGAATATACACTTCCCTAGTGAGTTAGGCACTAGGAGTTAACACAAAACTAACAAACAGGATTCTTGGGATGCACTTGTGAATCAAGACCCATTTACAACGGTGATGATAAACAAGCTAAGCCAGCGGATTTAGCCTGCTCATCCAATGAGGCAGAGCATTCCAGTGCACCGAGACAGATCCTATTTCCAGCTCTACCTAAAATTACTTTGTTCAACTTCTCAACTGAATTACTTGAAAAGGAAAGATGGAGAGTGAAAAATGTCTGATTTTCAAAGTAACAGCATGCAATTTTACTGAAGGAGCAAGCATTTCACAAAATTGTAAATAGCAGTGACGAAACTAGAATTCCCAGCTTGCAGCTCAGAGAGCAAGCACAGTTCTAAGTCAGAGCTATGCTAACACGCCACAGTGGATGCTACCAAAAGAACAAGGGAGACCTCATAAAACAATATATTTTGCATCTCTAAACAGAACAAGAGCCACAAGTGACATTAGTTCTGTCTCTACACACAAAATGAAAGCTGAGGTTGACTTGTGCAATCTAAAAAAAGCCCAGATCTGTGGTTAACAGCGGAAAACACAAAACAAACAAACAAGTGCCATGCTACTTAGAAGTGGGTACAAGGATTTAAAATT